AGCCGTAGCATCGCATATTTCCTTGGCGAACCTAATCCATTAGAAAAGAAGTGCGTCAGGCGAGACTTGATTCGAGGCTTCACTACAAGCATTGTCGTAGATTCTCACCTCGCAACATCGGCATCTGCTGCCAACTGAAAGGCTATCAATGCATCTAAAGCCTTTTCTTGTGCAGGCGCGTTCGCATCAGATACTGCTTTCTTCAACAAATGGCCTGAAACGTGACAGACAATGAATAAGCCTTTCGTTCGGCAGCTTTACAGTCGAAATCGATATGTCAACGGATGCTAATACGAACCGAATTCTTTAAGCTTGGGGTCTTTCGGATCCTTAATCTTGTTGCAAGAATCTGCGATATCCAAGTACACCTCGTTCCTAACCTTCCAGTTCTTATGCGCTATCCTATCTTCTAAAGGGAGCTTCTTCGCCTCCTGCAATACCTTCTCTTCTTCTGAAGCCATGGTTCGTCTAACGACAAAACGGTTCTACGCAAAAACACTACTCGACAGTACCGTAAGCAGCGATCACGAAGATAATAGTAGCTGCTTTGAAATAGGCGTATCTAGCTAAAGATATTAACAATCAGCTACTCTGACCAACAGCAGGATATTCGCTAGGCCTAGGATGTGATGTGACACTGACTGCAAACCTTGAGCTTGAATTCTGTTTTGTTGTTGTTCGCCTTTGCTTGGAGCCTGTCTGACAGGTGGTGCAAGGCAAACCCATCGCTGGTGACCCGACCCGAGTTCTCACGCTGTGGCTCGTCCGTGAGGTGCCAATAACGAGTGAAAGTGCTTCACTCAGTTCAAGCGACTCGTGATTGGTGTGGTCTTTTCCTCGGTGAGCTCCTCCCGCCACCCGAAGTCAGAAGGTTGGGTCGTGTGTCAGAGAGCGCTGCGTCATTGAAGGAACACATAGTGTAACACAGCATCAGGTTTATTTATTGCATACTTATGCGCCTTTGGTGTGGAAAAATAAAAGCGTTTGCTCCCCTTCTCATGAGTAAATAGTTTGAATCCATAAATTGATAAAATAAATTTAGGGAAAAACATTTGTATGCTTGGTAAGATGAATAATATACCGGGTGATGTATGTGTTTGTGAAAGCATAGGCATTGAAATAAACTATCAGTCATCCTATGACTAGACTGTACACCAACTATGAAGTGCTAAATGAGCAATGCCACATCAGCAAGGCAAACTCGAAGCGGCAGCCCACTCCCGCCAAACATGTCTCACACAATGCTCACGAAACCTGATGTGTACACAATTTCGCATGCATTAGTTCAGCGAAACAGCTTTGCTCCGCGCTCGTGCAACCATTTCGCACACAAAATACTGCTGGTTGCAGGATGGTCAAACCAGCCCCATGTGGCGCCAGCGAAACGATTTGCACGTGATTCCATTCGTCGGCCGCGTCGCTTGACTTTTGTGGACGTGCCAATTGCGATGCCTTTGGCGATGCTCGTCGCAAAGCATACTTCCCGCATGAATGTGCATATTGAGCCCCTCGGTCACCCTTCTTTAGATTTAGAAGGCCATCATATAGATTTAGTTTGTGCATGTGATGTGATTGCGGTTGCGTGCTTTCATGCGCCTATTCTAGAGGGCTCAAGCTAAGGCGAGCCTTGGCAGTAGCATTCTTGTCGCGCCCTCATCCCCTTTACAGGCTATCGAAATCATGGCTCCTTCGCTGCTACGCTCCAGGCGGCCTCTTGCAATTGTGTTGCTCGTTGCAATTGTGGGATTTCCTGCAGCAGTACTGGGATACGACACGTCGTTCGACCGATACTTTCAGTTTGCGCCGTACTGCAAAGGGCAGTACTATTGCGAGCGCGCGGGCGATGGAACCGTCGCGATTTCCGCTCACTGGAACAAAGTCGGAGGTACGTTTGGTGCTTTTACTCTCACCTTCATGTGCTTGTGCGAAACCCGTTCAGCGGTAGGATCCCCCGTTCCAGGCTGATTTCCACAATGATATTTATATTCGCTGTTTTTCTTCTCATTTGTCTCAACATTTCGTTTCTGGCCTGTCCTTGTTGTTGATGTCTTTGCACACCAGCCTTTTCCTCGTACGGACAGTACCAGTACGGCATATTCAGCGTGAAGATGAAGATGCCAGCCGGCTACTCCGGCGGCATCATTCCGTGCTTCTACCTCATCTCGGGTAACAACCCGGGCTACAAGGACATTCACGACGAGATCGACTTTGAGATCCTGGGCGCAGAGAACCCGCGCGATATGATCATCCACACCAACCTCATCACGGGCGGCCAGACCAACCTGGAGCAGGTGCGTTGCGAGTTCCAAACGAGCAGACGAGTCCTGGTTGGCGACTTCATTTCTCGAGATGACTGTTCTGTGCTGCACGCTCTTCCTCATTTCTTCAGAGAAACGGGTTTACCTTTCGTGCTCACAATGGCGCCTTGACCCTAATGCCTCCATGTCCTCGTGCCCTGATTCTCCCTCTGCCCTTTTCCCCGCAGTTCCGCTTCCCGTTCGACCCGTCGGCGGACTTCCACACGTACACGATCATCTACTCGCCGCGCTTCATCGTGTGGAAAATCGACAACACACCCATCCGCGTCACCCTCAAGACCCCTGGCAGACCCTTCCCCTCCGCGCCCGTTCAAGTCAAGGTAAGTCCCCTCCCCGTGCAGCAAACTCTCTGTCTCAAACCAGCAGACTATCATTGTAGACAGAATAGTACTCTCCCCGTCCACTTTCCTCCCCTTCCCCTCCGCCTCCACCCGCCGAATCCGGGTCTAAACAGCTTTTCTTACGTTGCCTTCTAAACCCGTCCGCCCAAGCAGGCATCCATCTGGGACGCGTCGAGCTGGAGCCAGTTAAAGCCCGACTGGAACAAGGGCAAGGTGACGGCCCAGTTTAAGGACTTCGACTTGAGCATGGCATGCGCCGTTCCGCCCACGGGCAAGCGCCCCGCGTGCGCGGATGAGACGAACAGGCAAAAGGCGCCGTGGTTGTACAACCTGCCGCCCAGGCAGGTTCAGAACTTCAAGAAGTTCAGGAGGAGTTATGTGAAGGCTTCGTATGGCTGGGAGGTGATTCAGTAAGGCGTGGGGAAGGAAATAAAAGGGACTGCTGGTTGATGCATCAAACAGATCAGCCCATAACCAAGCTCAATAGATTGCTCTAGGACGTCGTTTGGTAATAAAATCTGGGATGTGGTCCCAGTGCCTGACTCTAATTTTAGAGTGTTCACTTTGGCATGACTGAACACAAGAAACATCTGAGCAGTACTCAATGCTTTAGATGGACTGTGCATGATGGCTAGTGGCTGGCTAACTCCAAGGAAACACTCGCAGCTTACACAACCATGGACGCCTCCATTTCACTTCCTTGTGCCTTCCCATCCTTTCACACGCCAATGCGCACCCAGAATGTATTGGCACAAAGTAGCAATTCCATCCAAGTTAGCTTCCTGTAAAGCATAGTGAAATTGCAACCAGACACATAAGCTGCAGTGAAGTCCACAATTTCTATGATGTCCCAATTTTGAAACGCCGTCTAACATATGGATAGCTAGATTCCCAAGATAGATGCTCATCTTCTGGTGGATACTGTGAGGGAAACCACATAATGAGAAGGGAATCCTGTATGGGTACATGAATGTTTGGATTGGGTGTTTCCTATCTCAAAGCACCATCATACAATATGTCATTCGCAGAAATCATGCTTCTTGACAGAGGCATATTATCGGACGACCAATAGAATCCCTCGAAGGTACTAAAGACAACCCCACACTGTACCCCATATGAACCAGTTGGAGCTTGCCGGAGTTGATTTTCCAACACAGTCCAGAAATGTATCGAGCCAGAACCACACCCGATCTACAAGCAGACTGATCTTGACGTCAGGCACTTCACGTGACGGAGATTCACAAACAAGCCCTTCTCGTGGCTCAAACCTCCTGATTGATCCTTGCCACGTCACGAGCTGCTTCTGTTTGAGATTCGTCACGAGCTTTCGGAGCTAGAGATTCCATTCGTGATATCTTAGAGCAGAGCTTTTACATAGAACCGAACTAAACCGATTTCAAAAGTAGCATGGACTATGCATCGCTTTTTTGCTGCCCGATTCCCCGAACCAGAGACCATTGATGTTTTCCCGGGACGAAATCTCCCTCCCCCGATTCTTGAAATTGCTGACTCACCTCAGCACATCAATCGAATCGAGAATCGCGCCCCCGCGCGCGGCATTTTTCGAGCTCCCGCGCGCCTCTTCCGTGCCTCCCCTGCTTCGCTCCCCCACATTTCCCCTTTCTTTCCCCCCTTTCCGCTTCTCCCCTCCACCCTCATCACCCCCTTGCCTCCCGCCCCCTCCCACCCCGCCCGTTGGCCACTGCAATACTCTTCAGCTAGCGCAGCAGATGCCGCTGCAATGCTCGTCGTTTCCTCCCCGATGTGTGGAGAGGGGAAAGGGGAGTGCTGAAATCGCGAGTGTGGAATTCAGAAACAAATCCGCAGAGCCACGAGATTCGAATCGCAAGATTAGTTTTGCCCAACACTGCTGAGAGTGGGGATTGCTGCAATACCTATCCATCACTGCACGGACTGCTCACTCTCGGCGATATGCTTCAGCCGCCTGAAGGTAGATCGTCGCGGGATCGATTCACCCAAGGGAAAATCAGAGCGAGGCATCAGTCTTTGAAGCACGGAAATCCGACATTTAGTACGGTCCCACAAGGGAGCTTACAGCATAAGAGCAGGAACGATTCCGCGGTCCGCCATGGTTCGATTGACAACTCTACCCCCTTCGCAATTTCGACAGTTGCATGACCGTTCAAGTTTGCGAGAATGGCTTTTGTTTATGGCATTCACGACAGCACCTACGTTCCGCAATTCCACATCTCCTTTTGTCGTCGCGAAAGTAGCTTCTCCTGTCTTTCCGTGTGTAATTCCAAAGCAACGCCTTGGCCGGGGCTGTTCGAAGTCGTTCCTCATTCCCACGCCCATCATCTAGCTCGTCCTATCCAAGCCGATGAGTCCCAGACCTAGTCCCGACGGAGACCCGCCGCAACCGCGAACGGGCCTGACATCTCCAGTCGCTCCCGCGTTCGCCGGTGGATTGAACGCGAGTTCCGATGCGTTCTTCAATGTCACTTTTTCTAGTAGTGGTGCTGCTGCCGGTCCGTCTTGGAGCGCTCCCAGGCGCGCCGACAGGGTGGGGAAAGGCGCCAAAGGCGGGCCGGAGAATGCGCTGCACGGCTTCCGCGGAGTGCGGCAGCGCAGTTGGGGGAAATGGGTGGCGGAGATCCGCGCCCCGCGCAGCAAGAAGCGCATCTGGCTGGGGTCGTTCGCAGACGCGCGGACTGCTGCGCTGACGTACGACCGCGCAGCGCGGAAGTTGTACGGGACGCGCGCGCAGCTCAACTTCTTCGACGAGGCGGCAGTTTCCGCGCCCAGCAGCAGTCACCCTCACGGCGCAAGCTTGCACGGCGCCGACGCCCGCAGCGGCTTGATCAGCAGCGGAAGCGGCAGCGGCGGGAGCGCGAGCGACAGCGAAGGCGGCGCATCCGCAGGCGTGATCGCTTGCGGCGAGAGAACGAGCCGCTCCGTCGAAACGCCTGCGCCCGTACCGCGCTGCGCGTCGAGCGACGACGCGACGCCTCCGTCACTGGCGAGGTTCCCGTTCACGAGCGTCGCGCCGTTGCTAACGCGCGACTCCAACCCAGCAGAGAGCGCCGTTAGTGCCGCCATGGCGGCGGGCTCCCGACACGCGTCGTTCAACACAGGAACTCTCGCTGCAGCGCGGTGTGACTACATCGGTGCCTTGCCACTGCCAAGCATGACGTTTCTAGAGATCTTCAACCGCTCGTGTCCGCCGCTCACCGCCCCCGCCGGGGCGTCTACCTCCGTTTCCGCGCTCAGCGCGCGCGGCCCGTCGGCGGAGAAGCGCGGCATGTGGCAGGGGCCGGTTGAGTCGTTCCGCGCGCCCGCGGCGAGCAGCGCGGGGCGCGTCGACCCGTCGGCTGAGAGCGGGAAAGCTGTTATCAGCAGGGAATTGACGCGCGGGGTGAAGGAGATGGAGGAGTCCGTGGCATGCTCTGGCTGGAGCCATGGCGGTGGCGTTGCTAATCACAGCATTGTGAATTGGAATCAGAAGAACCAGGATTGTTATCCGGGTCAGGGAGTTTTCGCTGTAGGGGGAAACGAGGGGGCGAACATGCATTTTCCTCCGTGCCCCACTGTTTTGCCCGCCCAGCTGAGTCAGCAGCCGGCTCTGACGGTGCGTGGGGGGCTTGTTCCGTACGGCAGCATTTTTGCAAGCCCCCCGGTCATGTCGGTGGGCGGCATGCAAGCACCTGGCATGGCAGTTCCGTGGGGGTGTGGCGGAGCAGTGCCCTGGGTGCAGGAGAGGGCGATGGCGCAGCAGGGGGCGATGGTGCAGGCACTAAGGGAGAGCAGGGCGCAGCTGGTGCGCGAGCAGATAGGCAGTAGTGGTAGTGCAGGGGTTGCTGGGAACGCTTGGTCTGCTGGGGCTACTGGGCTGGCTGAGAATGCTGGTGCCGGGGTGTGGGGTGGCAGGGGTACGAATGGGGCAGATGCAGTGCATGCAGGAGGAGCAGGCATGGAGCATGGTGTGCAAGAGAGAGCGATGGAGCAGCAGGGGGCGATGGTGCAGGCGCTGAGGGAGAGCAGGGCGCAGCTGGTGCGCGAGCAGATGGGCAGCATTGGTAGCGCTGTGACTGCTGGGAACGCTTGGTCTGCTGGGACTGCTGGAGCAGGGGTATGGAGTTGCAGGGGCACGGATGGGGCGGATGCGGTGCAGGGTGGAGGAGCAGGCATGGAGCACGGTGTGGAGCATGGTGTGCTGGACGCAGCAGCCATCGAGCGCATGCTGCAGCTCTCAGAAGCCCTGCTCGGCCCAGAGGACCCCCCTCCTCATGGCCCTCACATCCCCCATGGACACAGGGACCCTCATCCTCATGGTGCCAATGCCCCTCGTGGCCGTGTGGTCCATCACGCCTCTGATGCGGCTGCATTGGAGGGAGCCAGTGCTCTGCTGGCATACGGTGATTACCAGTGTCTCACCACCGCACTGCCTGATGCCATGGCCAGCTCAGAGCCTACTGCCGTGCCCCACTCCCTGCATGTCTCTCTGCCTGGCTCTGTGCCACATGCTGCTGCTGCTGTTGCTGCTTGTGAGCCTGCGTGCAGGCTTGCTGACCTGATACTGTTCCGCTCACCCTTGTGCATGGGAGGGGAGCTAACAGTGCCTGGCAGCCACTGCATGCTGCCACCTGCAGTGTGCATGGCGCCATGTGAGCCGGCATCGAGTGCTGTCAATGCTCTCACCATTGACGTTGCCCAGGAAGACCAGCCGCCGTGCTTTGTTGAACTGCTGCCCCCCATGTCTAGGCTCTGGTAGTGTGTTGGGTGGCAGGCTGTGAGATATGTCCTGTACATATTACCATATGCCAGTGATTACGTTTATACAATTTGTTGCAGATTCTCTAAGAATATTTGCTCCACCCAGTGTCTGAATGGCTAGTGAGGAATGGGATTGGGATTGAAATAACATGTTAGCCTGCATCGGTGACGTACTGCATACCGTAATACTACCGGTATGATATGAAGATGCAATTGTACAAAGTACTGGTTTTGGTAGCTGGCTAAAAACCAGTGTGTACACAGCACATAGAATATTGTTTGTCCCCAAACAGACCAGCCAGGCCAAATCCCAAAACCTGACATCAGATCCAAGGAATTGCCAACATTGATTTATCATGCAATGTGGTGGCAGCCATGATTGCCTTGCCACATCCCTCCACGGTTCCTCTTCTCATCGATCTCCATTTCCATCCAGTGCAGCCGTTCTGTAGATGGCATGTTGACATGCCACACCATGCCATGTCACACCATTCCATGCCACACCATGCCATGCCACAGCAGCAGCAGTCCCGTGGGTGCAGGAGAGAACGATGGTGCAGCAGGGGGCGATGACGCTGGATAGAGTGATGGTGCAGGCACTGAGGGAGAGCAGGGCGCAGCTGGTGCGCGAGCACATGGGTGTAAGTGTTGGTGCTGTCACTCATGGGAACGCTTGGGCTGCTGGGACTGCAGGGACTGTTGGGAAAGCTGGAGCAGGGGTGTGGAGTGGTAGGAGCACAGATGAGGCAGATGCAGTGCATGCAGGAGGAGCAGGCATGGAGTATGGTGTGCTGGATGATGCAGCAGCCTGCGAAACCAGTGCTGTCACGAGCAAGATAAGCTCAAAGCTGTTGGGCTGAGAAAAGCCCTTAGGATCTTTCAAGGCTAAGATCAAGTGTTGAAATGTAGATTGTTGTAATTGCGGAAGCGTTAATATTAGAGTTGCATGAACCACCTTGTACTGGTGTATGAGAACAAGATAAGTTGATAATAACAAAGAGATACAAGCTTTTTATATGATTACAAGGAATATAAAAAGTTATACTTTAACTGTTTTTGCTGTTGCGGTTCGATACAGTGCCGACTCGGGTAACTGCTCCGTAACGAGTCAGTTATGTGTCCTTGCTATCGCACTGTAGTTTTCGTCAGGTCAAAGGTCAGCGACCTTTGACCTTCGCGTAACCTCCAGCGGTTGCTTTGTTGACTCGTGTGTTTCTTCGCTGTAGTCTGCTCCGATTCGTGTCGACACTTCGATGCTTCAGAAGGGTTTATCTTACTTTGTTTCCAACACTGCCCTTCGCTTCTGGAGTATCGCTGCTCATGACGTGTCCTTGTCCAGTCAGCAGCATGCAGTACTCGAACTTCTGTTTTCCGAGTTTCTTGGTCAAGTAATCAGCTGCCATCTCGGATGTGGGACAGTAGGATAGCTCGAGTCTTCCCTTCTCGATTTCGTCTTTTACGAAGAAGTACCGAAGGGTGATGTGCTTCGTTCGATTCGCGAACCCATTTTTGTTCGCTATGCGAATGGCCAATTGGTTGTCGCAGAATAGAGAGAAGCTGGGTAACTGGGCCAATTTTTTCGAGAATCTTACGGGGAAGTGGTGTTTGGACTATCGAGGGGAAAGGTACAAAGGAGAAACCTAAGGGGTTGTACCCCACAGTGAGTACCCCACTAAGCCTAACAAAACTATAACATACATAAACATATGTTTGACACACCCCCATAGGCAAAGTGGGGGAGAACAGAGGGTCACAAGACCAGTCACGAAGTGCAAAGCAAGCTCAGGGTGGATCACAACGTCACCACGCAGTCTGAGCACAAGCAAGAAGGCCACAAGGCCAGTTCACATGCAAAAATATATATGTAACAACAACAGTACAGTGATATCTACCTACAAGAACAAGCATGCAGGAATACATATAAATCATGGTACAAACAAAGCCTACAGCAAGTGAGGAAGAGTGGGCACAAGGCCTAACAAAGTGCAGAAACGCTGATGATCACCAGGCGGAAGCGCCTTGGTGAATATATCAGCAGTGTTGGCCCGAGTGGCCACGTAGGTATGACGAAGCTGGCCACGCTGCTGCAGCTCTCGAGCAAGAAAGTAACGGAGAGCGATGTGCTTTGTTCTGTGCTCCAGTCTGTGCTCCTGACACAAGGCAATGGCGGCCTTGTTGTCGACGTACAGAACTGGAGGAGAACGAGGCCTCTCTCCCAAGTCGGTCAGCAGGTAGGTGAGCCAGCGCAGCTCCTGTGCAGCCATGGCTGTGGCGTAGATCTCTGCCTCACAGCTGGAGCCGAGAACTGAAGACGAACGTGTAGAACGCCAGGAAACTGAACCAAAACGAAGGCTGAAGGTGTAACCCTGTGACGACCGCTGCGTAGTCTGGTCGTCAACCCAAGAGGCGTCCGAGTGACCTGTGAGGACAACGTCACCCCGTCCTCCAAGCACGAGCCCCATGCCCGATGTACTGCACAAGTAGCGTAGTACCCTCTTGGCAGCATCCATGTGCACCTTTCGGTGCCGACCAGGAGCCACGTAGCGAGCCAGAAGGCCAAGAGGGTACGCAAGGTCAGGACGAGTGCAAGTCATCAGGTACATGAGGCAGCCTACTAACTTTGGGTAAGGACCACTCGGCTCTACGGACTCGTCCGAAGGTGGAGCTGAGAGCGAGTGACCTGTAGCCAGAGGAGTGGCCTGTGCTGAGGACCAGGTGAAACCGAAGCGCTGAAGGACCTGCTGCACCATGTGTGACTGAGTCAGTGTGATGGTGCGGCGTGCTCTGTCCCGGGTGATCTGCAAGCCAAGGTAGCTGCGCAGTTCACCCAGGTCTGTGCACGTGTGTCTCTTCTGCAGCTCCGACTTCACCAGGGCGAGAGCCTCAGTGTCAGCAGTGGCAAAGACCAAGTCGTCGACGTACACGAGAACGTAGAACGGCGGCAGAGAAGTGTCGGTGCGCAAAAACAGCGACGGGTCAGCAGTCGACGGAGCAAACCCAAGAGCCGCAAGTGTCGTCCTCAGTGTGTCGTGCCACTCACGTGGCGCCTGGCGGAGACCGTAGACCGGCCGCCGGAGGCTCCACTGGGTACCAGGAGGGAACGACCCAGTGAAGCCAGGAGGGCGGCGCAGCCAAATCTCCTCGTGCAGGCTGCCCTGTAAGAAGGCTGTGCTGAAGTCAAGAGAGTGAAGCTCGTAGTCACGCTGAGCGGCAACGTGCAGCAGCACCCGAAGAGTGGTCATCTTCGGGGTGGGGGAGAAGGTCTGGAAGAAGTCAACTCCCTCTCGCTGACTGAAGCCTCGAGCCACGTACCGAGCCTTGAAGACAGGCGGAGAACCTGGCGGCCGCTTCACCCTGAAAATCCACATGCCACTGACAATGTTCGCCCCAGGAGGGGGAACCTCGTCGACGTAGGTGCCTGTGGACTTCCAGGATGCCATCTCTGCGTCCATGGCTGTCTGCCACTGAGAGGAGTACTCACCCGCGATCGCCTCAGCGTAAGAGCGCGGGGTAGGGATGTCTGGTGCATCCGGGTCTCCCTCAGGGGCAAGCAGCATGGATACGAGATGAGGCGCAGCGGCTGCAAGACACTCAAGGTCCTCCTGTCTGTCCTCAAGGACGTCCGTGCCAAGAGCACACTCACCCCCGACGGACGGAGGACAGACAGACTCAGACTCAGCAACAAGACTGGCGGCGTAGTCGAGACGACAGGCAGCAGCAAAGTCAACAAGCTCAGCGACTAAGGCAGACGCAGCAGCAGACTCAAACGACGGGTCAGTGACAACAGTGGCAAGCAGACGCGTGACAGTGGAGTGCTCAGCACGAAACTGGTCAGACGCAGGGTCAGCAACGACAGGCAGAGAGGACGCAGGGGGAGACGGCAGAGGAACACGCAGCGGAGGAGAGGAAGGACGGCGAACTACAAGGTGAGAGCCGGAGACAGCCGGCTGCCGCTGACGAGGAACACGACGACCGGAACGACCAGAACGGACAGGTGAGACAGGACGCGACGCAGGCTCACGACGCTCAGCAAGGCCCCTAGTCTGCTCTGCGTACGGAGAAGGAGCAGGCAACGGTGAGCCAGGCTATAACGGGAGACCAGTAGACGAGGGAAGACTGAGAACCTGACGAAGTGCAGAGTCAGATGGTGGCTGAGACGACGGAGACGGCGGAGCGAAGAACAGGCGCTGCTGAGCAGTGCCACCAGCACCAGCAGCTCCAGCACCTCGAGCAGCTCCAGCACCTCCAGCAGCTCCAGCACCGCCAGTAGCTCCAGGACCCTCAGCAGGTCCAGCACCTCCAGCAGCTCCAGTACCCTCAGCAGCTCCAGCACCGCTAGTAGCTCCAGTACCCTCAGCAGCTCCAGCACCGCCAGCACCTCCAGCAGCTCCAGTACCTCCAGCAGCTCCAGCACCCTCTGCAGCGCCAGTACCCTCAGTCACAACACCGCCAGCCCCAGCAGCTCCAGTACCCTCAGTACGAGCACCGCCGGGACCAGCGACACCAGCAGAAGAACCCCCAGCAGTAGAGCCCTGAGGTGCAGAAGCGCGACGCTGACGGCGACCGTACCAGTCGTGCAGCTGCTGGGAGGTGAGGGGCACACGCGGACGAAGACGGCTACTCCAAGGAGACCGCGGAAAAGCAGTCACAGAACCCTCAGGCGACTCACCCCCAGACTCAGCACCCCCAGGCTCCGCACACGCAGGCTCAGCACCCCCAGACGCAGCACCTCCAGACGCAGCACCTCCAGACGCAGCACCCCCAGGCTCAGCACCCCCAAGCTCCGCACCCCCAGGGACAGCACCACTCGCAGCAGGACCGGAGTCACCAGTGACCTCAACAGGCGCAGGCGCGGGGGGGTCTACCTGAGAGACACCTGAAGGAGCAGTACCTGGCGCAGGGAGGGGGTCTACCTGGGGAGGACCTGGGGCGAGAAAGAGCGGCGGGGGGGGGGCGAGGAGCAGTGCGGTAGGGGAAGAGGCGGTAAAAGGGGACAGACTCGTCAAAGGTGACGTCCTGAGACGCAAAGACACGGCGCGAGGCGGGGTCGTAAAACTGCCAGCCAGGCGCGTCAGGGACAAAGCCAAGGAAGACGCAAGGAATGGCGCGAGGGGAAAGCTTGTCCGCGGTGGTATCGCGGACAAAGGCACGAGCACCCCAGACCCGGAAACGCGACGCGTCGCCAACCTTCCCCGTCCACAGCAGTGTGGGCGAGGTCTCCGGCAAGGAGACACGAGGCCAAAGGTTGAGCTGATGCGCGGCGTACCGGACCGCAAACGGCCACAGAAAATGGGGGGCAGCCGCATGGATCATGGAGGTACGAGCGACCTCCATGACTAAGCCAATGCGGCGCTCAGCAACCCCATTCTGCTGAGGAGAGGCCGGAAGCGTGAAAGTCTGGCGGATGCCGTGCTCCGCACAGAAGGCTGCCAAGAGGTCTGAGGAGAACTCACCACCTCTGTCAGAGTGCAGACGCAGGACAGGAAAGTCCGACTGGAACCGCTCGCGGAGCTGGAGACGAGTAGCGCGGATCCAGGGGATCAAAACATCAGGGACATCCCCCTTGCGCTGCAAGGGGAAGACCGTGGTGTAGCGCGTGTAGTCGTCGACAACCAGCAGGAAGTACCGCTCGTGGCCCTGTCCACGGACGCGGGCTGGGCCCCACACGTCCAGGTGGAGAGTCTGCAGTGGAGCCTCTGTGGGAGGGAACGAGGAGGAGTGAGGAGTGGCGCGCTGCCGCCCCTCGACGCAGGGAATGCAGGGCGGCGCAGGCGAGGGAGGGAGGGCAGGCAGAGACCTGGGAAGCCCAGAAACCAGGAGGCGGGAGTGCATGCTGCGTAGGCGAGGCAGGGAGGGGTGA